CATAACATCTTCCACTGGTGCCTCACCAGCGTAATAATCCGTTAGCGCAGTCGGGTGAACTATACCATTATCGTGCATTAAAAGAAACAGTATACGCTAGGTGGGCAACAGTGATGAATAAGATGAGCATGCATTCAGGTCAGTTAGTTCATCGTGGTGCATTAACCAAGAATTAATCACGATAATTTCCGTAGGGAATCCCGTTGACATGGAACATCGTACGTAAAATAGTAACTAGTTACAACATGAGTAGCAATGAGACTCTTACCCATTACTAAAAATATCTTCCCCTTACTACAGTTTCTTATCAAGCGTGCAATGATACCGATAAAAATATTATTGATTTGATTTGATAATCACATCCATTTTATACTCTAGCTGTAAACCCTAATCAATAAACAGCCTGTGTTTATATAAAAGCTTTTTGGTCTAAACAACGTTACTCCATATATATACCTTCACTGCACATTACGTAATCTAAAGTGGGTTTATCAAACTGATAACGCATGGCAACTATCCCCTTTAGTCATAAATATGTCAAACGTGTAGTAAACCTATTTCAGTTATTGAAACGTTATGTTAATTTTTCATATGCTATTTTCTCAATTTATAAAATTATGTCGCCGTATTCATAATTATATTTCTCACAATGGATTTTGATGCGATTTTTACTATTATAAATTTTGGATAATTTCTACCGGAAGATTTATATGTATAATACAAGCTTATAAGACCACCGTCATATTACTAAAGTTATGCAAATAATAAATTGAAAATTCTAATATTTATACTACACAGATCACAAACAGATGAATAATTTTTTATTTGTTTCTATGATAGAAAAATAGAAGTTTGTAAGTGTTCTTAGAATCCCTTTGTAGCTTGTTTAATTGTCAACATGCCTTTTAAAAATTTTGCTCTATTAGCACCTTCTCGTACTCAGTTTACACTTTGAAATAAACCCGTCTGTTTGAAGGTTAAAGAAAAGTAATTGCAACATAGTACTAATGTATTATAGTACGTATAAGTGTTTTGTATCTATTTACACATTAAATAGTAGTGTTTTCATTTTTTATATGTTCGCCCAATTATAAGATGTCTATTGGTCTTAGTGTGATGTACTATCATGTAGCCAATAATTTTTTTCGATAAAAGGACTATGCAACCCTAAAAGAATCTTTCAATTCGATTCTATAGATCCAGAGACTACAACTTTACAAACTTTACCTTTTTATAATAGTATAGAGGTTTAGATTTTATTGTTTTATTAAATCTGTACCTGTATTATAAAGAGGGAATACAGGGGGCAGATTTAGATATAGAACGGTTTTGAACCTCGGCTCAGGCCATCAGAATTTCTATCTAAGTCTGAATTAGACAAGACAGAACAAGGTCGATCGGAGGGACTATTACCTTTATAAAAAATATACATAGAAAACACCCAGATCGATACAAACAATCATATTTATGAATGTTTGCAATGTGCGGGAAATCGAACCCGCAGAACTAAACGATTAGACCACCGTGGCCGTCTAACTATATCTACTATTTAGACTCATACTACTTATTATATATCTGGTTACTTCGTTAACTAGCAGTTTCGCGCTCGTTTCGTCGTATTCGCAATCTTGGATCAACAATATAAACTAGTAGTTGATTTAAAGATTGCAATTAATTTACAATTCATTGCAACCTTTCGCAACAGATGTTGCTCGAAGCGATATCACTAGTATTACATTACAATCCTACTTTACTTTAGTTTGAGATATTAGAAAATTTAAAATTTACCAGATTTAAAAAACATCTGTTACTTATGACTACACTAGCTGTGGCCGCAGTTTCACACGCATTAAATTTATAGCCTATGTTATGCTGATGTATAAGCTATATATACAGTAAAGTTTTATCAAAATTCGTTTTGTAGTTTTTGTGTGAAAGAATACCAAACGCCTATCCCCAATACTCACAAACTTTCACGTTTATAATATTATTAATAATAAGATATTATGGGAATAACAGGCATTTGCTTTTTAATTAATACATACAGTGAACTCTATAATAATTGCACACGGAGTTGGTACGTCTTACAAGTCGCGCGTTCCATTTTGTTTACATGTTACTTTGTAATAAATAAACTCAACAACGTTTGGCCAATTTTTCGACTTCTTTCACTTATAGAAAGCTAAATAACAGCTAATAACACGGCTGTATTCTACGAGACCAGTGCCGGGGGTTATAACTAGTCATTAGTACTCTAAGCTACAATTTAAATAGTTGTCTCCTGATCATAGTATAAAACCTACATTATGTACCTACTTATTTTTATAGTATTTATTAACTTTGTGCCAAGAAACTGATTCTTTAACAAAAGCAAGGTGCTTAGAAAACCTACGTTTTTTTAAGAGCCTTCACATCTTAGTGAATAAGTGTTATTATAATAATAACAACTCAAATTATAATCATTAGTCATATTTTGAACAGTTCTTGTTTTTAATTATTTCACTAAATGCGCATATATTTTTATCAATATAAGTAGAAGTATTCAATATATTTTTTGTAATTACTTTACCTGACCCCTATGATCCACAATAAAGATTATATGTATTTGTATTTAGTATTTAATTCAACTTTGTTCTCATAAATCTGACAATGACCAGATTGAATGTGTTTATAGAAAAAAGACTGGTACAAAATCAAAGACGCGTCCTTGTACAAGTTTGGTCCCTTTGTAATACTTGTGGTGCATTCCCTCGACCTTAGCGCGCCACGCGTAGGGCTGTCATCCGTCCGGGGTCCCCAGGATTTATACAAGTTTGGAGGGTTCTAACCGGAAGGGGTTAAAACCAGGTAAAACCCGTTAAAGACAGTTTTTGCATCACGAGAACAGCTGATTCGTTGAATGTTATTATTTATATTTTTAATTCTCGATCTCGAATCGACAATATTATAAGTGTACGTTTGTTATCCGATATCTTCGAGAAACCTCAATTGATTACTATGATTCATTTTGCAATCAGTAACATTTATTTCCCTGTTGGTTGCAAACTTATAATTTTTTTAACACTGAAAGAAAGAGAAATAGGGATCGTATGTTGACGAAATAGGAAAAGCCAGATACCAGTAGATGTAATTTCGTAATAATCATATTATGTATATGATTATTACAAAATATTACTAATTATATGACGCAAGGTCAGTTTTAGTTGTATTGTTCCCCACTTTACTCTATCTGAATATCATCCAAAGAGACCTCGCGCTCTACCATCACCTCTATAACATTACTATTATAAATATAACCATGAAAGAAATACAAAAACACAGGATTCTAAAGAGCAGGCTAAAAAAAATAAGATGATAGGTACCCAGTCGACTTTCTCCAAAAACATAAGCACATTGTTGAATATTTCGTTCAGCATCAATAATTTTGGTCATGGTTGTAGCCCTAACCACGCGGGGTTGCGCGAAGCCTGCGCGCTGCGAGACTCGACGGCCGGCCAACGGCGGGCCACTGGCTCAAGCTAACCTATAACGTTACTTGCTTCACGTACTTTTCCTTTTATATTTATCCAGATGTTAATAACGAACACTACAGCATATTCAATTATTCAAATTTCTATAAACGTTCTATTTATAAACAATAACACAAACATCCTTTTCACAGATGTCAGTTACATTTTACCGCCATTTCCAGGTATACTGTTATAGTAATTTACCATTGTTTTTAGTTATAAAGTAAGTATCTCATACTAGTACGATTTGAAACATTATTTAAATTTTGATCATAATATAAAGTAATGTTTGTTTCAAATAAGTATAGGTATTTACATAAAAACAGAACAATTTGTTATAATTACGATATGTTTAGATACTTAAAAGTAAATTACAAAGACGCTATATAGAACAGACAATTAAACATTGTATACTATCAGTGCCGATAAAGTAACTGGATGTCTTACTAACCTGATGGCTCGGCGCAGTCGCTCATAATCCAAGCTGCATTTTAACCTCAAAAAGCACCAGAAGCACGGTCACGATATGCGAAGGTCATGGTTATGTTATGTTGCATAGTAATCACCAACACTCCACCGATAGCATGGGAATTTATAAAAACAATACACGAATAACGATTAGTGTCTAATGCTGATAACATAAACACACGAATACACAGTTCATTGCACGTTTATTCAACAAATGATCCGCTATGACGATCGCTTCGTTAGATCCCACATTTGCCATGTTTTCTGGATAAAACTAGCACCATTGACAAGCCGTTATCATAAGTTTTATGCAGTTTACGATTATACATGTCACAGCCGTGCACTGCACTCCGTCTGACACGACGAATATGGCGGATGAATTTGATTTGAACGAACTACGCTTGCGCCGGCTGAATGCCGCGGTTAAACAGGTAAAAAACATGGTTGATACTAGCGCCATCTTACGTATGTTGCTTGAATTACTAAGATTGTGCAAGGAGGGGCGCTGTAATACTAGCAAGTTATTTGTAGCTAATTGTGAAAGGTGGCAGTAAAAACTTTTTATCATTGTTTTCACATTAATTTATATAAAATATTTTTGTTATTAAATACTTAAACATAGATTGTGTCTACACTTGTAATATTTCGGTCAACACTTGAGACCCTTCCATTATTAAACCTAAACATAATTTAAATTAAGTGTAATAAACATAACAGTCCGCTTTACGACTCCGCATTGAGTACTCGCGTCTCTAATAAATATTGTAGCACATTACCAATACCAATAAACTTCATAATTTTTATTAAATAAATAGTGTAGTATAGTAACTGAGTAATTTGCAAAAGACATTTACAAAATCATCATTTAGTAAACATGACTCTTATCTTTGCTATTAACATACAGACAACCACGTAGGCGTTAACTATGTTGTAATTAAATAAAAGTTTACAACTGGAAATACTGCAATAGATATGTTTATTGAATTATTATATTTACAAGCATAATACTTTATAGACACCATATAAACATTAGCATGTGTATAGTATTTATTATTTTTTCCGAGTTCTATGGCGTAGTGCCACCACAGCCAATAGATGGAAGACCAGGTATAGCACGACGAGCGCGATGACATCGTGCCACAGATGTTCCGAGGAGAAATCGTAACGGTCCAGAACATCGTCCCCGGTACTGAGGCAGGGTGCACCGTCCGTATTACCAGCACACGCTGGAAAAATTACATTATTTTTTAAGTAGAATTAAAAACATGTGTTAGATCGATCGTAGGATATATTATATACTACTCTTCCGTCCTTGTCTCATCTTAATTTGGGTCGGCTCACCTAATCATCTACCTCCAGAGGTTTCTCATCTGGATCGTCGTTGGGTTTATACGATAATATTTATTTAATAGTTATCACTAAAATTATTTTTAATTTTTTTTTTATTTTTACACTTTTTTGCACCAGTTACAGAAAATATTAATTACTATAAAAATATGTATAACAATGACGAGTACAAAAGGCGGCCTTATCGCTAAGCAATCTCTTACAGGCAACCTTTAGGTAGACAGTGAAAATATAAGAAAAAGAGTAGGTACATACAATACAATAATGATTATTGAAAATTTCATGTAAAATTAAGTGGCTCCATAAATATCCAATCAATCCGTTACATGGTAACAAAAATCAACTGAAGTGTTATCCGTCAGATAAGAATTGGCCTTCAGCCACCCGATAAGTCCTTCAGCAGGTTTGAATTGTCATCTCCGTTCCCCCATTTTTTGTCCAATGAAATTTTAAAAGAAATCTACTGGCAACAGATGTATCTATAAATAAATAACTTCAGTCGGGAGGAAATTAGTATAAAACCCAGATAGTACATATAAACACAATCTAAATGTATGACTGTAAATTAGTTTAAAAAATTGAATGATGTTAAATAGTGTGTTTGTGCCTACCAATTTGAAAAGGGATTCACTTCTAATCTATTGCTGGATACTACGACTTGAATGCAATGTTATTAATGGAACAAAACTATTCTCAAATTCTGTGAAACTCAACAAGTAATTGAAATAACCAAACGCCCACTTCTTTGAATCGTTACCTGTCAGACCTTTTTTTATTTCTTTGGGAATACCCAAGCGCCATGTGGCTCTTTGTTTAAAACAGATGTTTCGAATCATGAGATAACATTGTAAAGAAGTGTTGAATAATTTTGTTATTCAGATAAACATCGCGAGAGTCAAAAGCGGGAAATAAGATGGCGCTTCCTAACAGTCTAGTAACCTGTCGAATGGCATTTAAGAAAATACATAATTAATTTTTTTATACATGTTTCCACGTTTTTTGATAAGCGTATTACGTAATTACCTTTATATCTTTTGTCTATTTGGAATGGCAGACAAGCTCGTAAGTAGTAACCCGGTAAGTCGTAGCCCATGCTTATGTACATGAACAGCAGGAAAATTATGTATTTATATGACGCCGCACGTTACCATTCCGGAAGACAACGATCTCATACCCCCTTTACTCTGAAATTTTACTTCCTTATCTCATCCTTTAAAAGGGACACATCTTACAAAGAAAGGTGCTTAGTGCCTAAAATAGATGAGATAGAGTTACCAACGCAACCACTTTGTAAAGGAACACCTTGGTAAATAAATCTAATTAAAAAAGTCGAGTGTTAAAGCTTCTAATTTTTAGTAGTTTCCCGTACATGATTTCCAAGTATGATAATGAAATACTCACTAATATTTCTAACACCATCCCATTGTATTATGCTCATAGCTTCGTTGGAGTACATCAACCATGATAAGTGGCGAATCCAGGACACGTATTTAGGTATTGAACTGCAAACCACAAAGGAGTATGAAACTTATAATTACATAACGTAACGGCTACTATCATTATTATGGTAGTTACACCATAGTAGCACCATTGTCGTCGCCGGTATATTTGAATCTACCGCCGCCTCTGGAATTAATTCTTGATTTGTTATCGGTGTTTCCTTCCCCCATAGTACAGTCAGTCAGAAATATTATTAGATATAAAGATATATGTAAATTATACAGCCAACTTTACTATACCCAATTCGTGTAACCTGAAATCCAATGATCTTCCATCAATGAATAATTATTGTTAAGTTTTTGGCTTAGCATAGCGCTTTATTTCCATAATGGTCGTGGGTTGGATTCCTTGCACGATGCAAACAATTGTATTCATGACTAAAATTGCTATTATTGGTCTGGGTGTTTTCATTCTATATAATGTGTTATCAATGTATATATATATATATAATAATATGTGTGCTTCTATAACACAAGCATTGCTTAGTTTGGGGGTAGATGGACGCTGTGTGAATTCTCCTGGAGAAAAAAATTACCTCAGTCTAACAAAGAGTCCAGATGTCATCATGAGAGCATAGTCGAAGGGAACAAGATATGCGATTGCTACTGGCATCGAACCAAAGGCGCACGAGAAAAATGAACCTGAAACAAAAAAAACAATAAATTGTGACATCCATAAATCTACGACATATTAATAGGTACTTATGTAAAAAGAGTTTTCAAAATTAGTTGTATAATTTTCGAGATTACCTACTTGGTTGTACATACCTACATTACAAACAAAAAACGAAATCAAGTCTTTCATTTCATAATATTAATGTAGATATTCGTTTTAGAATAAATATATAAATTAGGTTAAAAGTAAATCAATCTATTCTAATATCATTATTGAATTCAAATTCAAATTCAAATTCAAAAATCTTTTATTCATGTAGGACATTTTAGCCGCTTATGAACGTCAAGTTTTTACATTATAATTTTTTTTCCCTACCGTCCAGTTCGGTATATAGATCCAATTGAGAAGAACTGGCAAGAAACTCAATTGAATTACTTTTTTAAATCCAGTTTATTTACAATGTATTTTTTTATCGGGATTTTCATTTAATGTCTATGTCTAACATTAAATGAAAATCCCGAAAATGAAAACTATTGCCATGCACGCTCGTCATTCAATTATACATGTATGTACATAAGCATATACAATAAGAATATTGTTATTGATCTTAAATGTACTTCCACCATAGTCTTTATGTATGATAATGCAATGGTGCACCTGCCTACGCTAACGGTTTACGCTGGCGGGGCACCAGTGGCGGGTAATAGGATGAGCATGAGGTCAGATCAGTTAACTCATCGTGACAAAGTCACTAGGAATTTATCACGATGGTTTCTAGGTGATACTGCGTAGAAGTCAAACTAAAATGGCACATTACTAGCATGCTGGCAATGGAATCGTTAGTCCACATTACTAACAATCCCTTTCATCTACTTGCACCATACTTACACTTGCACAGATAGGTGCACTGTGCACCATAGCAAAATAACATGAGCAATGAGCATTATATATAATGCTCATTGCTCTATTTACTATATACTCTCTATTTACTATATATAGTATATTAATTTACATAAACCCAACAAAGTTATTAGTAACAAATCGAGGATGAAGTATAAAAATCTTATAATATACATATACTATGAGAAATTAAGCACAACAGAAGAAAATTAAATATAATAAAAAAAAGCTATCAGTAATCGGTCGAATACAGGGAGAGTTACTAGTTATAAAAAATAATCTTACCACAAGCAATAGCAACGTTGAGCACTAATATGGCCAGGAAGACGGTGAAGCTGAATGCATACAAGGTATTCCGTAAGCCAGCTATAAAGTAGACCACCAACGTGAACAAAGTCGGCTCTACCACTAGTCCAGGAAACTGGAATAAAACAAATATATTAATTAGACGAACTTGGTGGTACAGCGGTATTTTGATATTCGAAATCGTTGTGGGTTCGATTCTGGCATTATGCAAGTATTTATATTTAGAGTATATCTGTGTATTCAGTGCTTTTTTATGTATTGTTACAAGTTTAAAAAATGTTTTAAAGTATATCTATTATTTGTTTAGTATCTATGGCACAAACTCTACATAGTTTTGGGAGAATATAACGCCAGAGCGTTATTCCCAGAGGAACGGTACAGGGTTACTGATTTATTTAAAGTCATGTGTATGAGTAAATTGGTATAATAGAACTTCGCACGAGTGGACATTTCGGCAGCGCATGCGAGAAAGGTATTTGAGAGACATTTCATGGCAATTTTTTTGTACATCTTGGGGTATTAAGATTTAATAGAGATCTCTATTTTTTTCTAATAATAATAAATATATCTTATGTTACTCAAAGGTAGTGTAGCAGCTTTCTAAAGGTGAAAGAATGACTAAATTGGACCAGTATATTTATATGCAAAGATGGACTTATTCTTCAGGAAATATTTATAAAAACACCGTTGCTAATAATTATAGGCTATTGAAATTTGAAACATACCAAAGCAATCATTCTTGCTATATAGTACATAGGCGTAGAGTACAGTCCCGCCTTCAGTTCCCTGTTGAACAATGGAAACTCTTCTGGAAACATGTGCAGTACTGAGTACATTGGACTGAACGTATTCTCGGCTATTATGATAAATAGTGCTCCTTGGACATCCTGGATACCGGATTGAGTAAGGTGAGCTGTGCCGATGAAGCATAATCCAGCTGTTAAGGCTATAGCCTGAAAATATAACGAGGAGTTTACACACTAAACATTGCGGAATATTATCAGTTTTTCCAAAATATCAATTCCGGTAATATTTTCTAGTATATTCTCTATATATTCTAGTATCTTATTTAGAAAATAACATAGGATCAGGTAAGAATTTGGATTTGTAAAGAACTGTCAAAAGTTCAACTGTGAATTTTTAAAAATAATGTATATAACTTACATATAATAAAATTCATTTTCTTATTAATTTAAATGTACGAATTCACATGTTATATAATGTTTTTTTAAATAAACATATCTTACCAATTTTTGCAATATACGTATCGACTGGACGCGTGGATCTCTGATGATAATCAGCGAGTATCGGTACACTAACCACATGATTTTGATGAAAAAGAAAGGTGGCTTGAATGTATCCCATGAACTTGAAATCGGGTCCTGGAATTTATATAATTTACATTATAAAGGTACAAATTCGATACATGACGATACAAACGCAATAATATTGGTTATTTGAAAAATTTATCTGTTTGTGATGTTTTTCAGAATTATATGAAGAATTCGTTTTAGACGATTACAAGTTAAGACTTATTACTGAAATCAAAACTACATATATATTATATATCGGAAATAAATCCTAAAGTATTTTAACTATTCATGCATTTATTAGTTGAACAAAAACAATCATATTCATAATAAGAAAATATGTTTGTACTACAAATCTAATCTTTTTTATACCACTAAGAGTACAAGTTACCTCATTATCTTGGTCCATAAGATGAAATTCAAGATGTATTTCCATATCCAATTCTTTAGCTGCATCGCTAACTGCAAATTGATCGCAAATACTCTTGATGGCTTGACGAGATGCCGCCTCAGAACCGGGAGTCAAGGCTAGCACCTTTATGAAGTAGTCAGTAGGATTGTACGTTATCGGGCAGTGGTAACCAAGACTGTGAATAAATATAATTAATCACTAATTATTGAGCCCAAAAGATCTTAAGGGTTAAGGTACGACTGAACAAACATGACCCAAATGCAAGGGAAGTTATAGATGGTACATCTACCTGCGCTAACGGCATACGCTGGTGGGGCACAAGTGGAGAATAATAAGATGAGAATGAGGTCAGGTCAGTTAGTGCGTTATAATGAAATCAGTTGGTTTCCAGAGGGAAGCGCGTGGTGCTGAATACATAGTAAGGGGTTTTAGTCCCTATTACTAAACACTTCCCCCCGCAAGGGAAGTATTGATGGCAATAAAAACTAGTCGACCTAGTGCTGAATCCCTGTATGTTTACCCCATCAAGTCAAATTCTACACAGCGCTTTTTTAAACTATCGTTATTATTTGTTTGTGAATTTCTCTTAATTGACTTCCTGACCTGACTTCATCTTAATTTTTCATTTTTAGTACATTATTATGGACAAGCGCCGTTGTGATGCAGCCTATATTATTTTTATTGTAATTTTAAAGCATCATCATTTTAAAGTATCAAAAAATCCTCATAATTGATAGTATTTTTAGAGCATTACCTAAACCCCTTAAACTTTTCGCAGATTCTGCAGGACTAGTAATTTTACCAGATTCATACTAATTTTATCTTAAGTGAGTCAGTTATTTTTTGCAACAAAATTATAAGTTTATTTTAATTAATAAAATAATATACTTAATATTTAGTTTTATAATAAATTTACGACTACGATTATAAAAGTCAAGTAATATGTCAAAGAAAATACTGATCCTAATATAACTATTTCTTCGTTCTCGTATACTCGTATACTTTATTCTATTGGTATGAGAATATATATTTATATTTATAAGTTCTAATGAAAGAATATTAAAGATAGGTTCGTTAATATTCAGTCGCAATGTACTTATACAATCCTTAGGGCTCAGAGCGTCAGGAAGTTTTATTGGGGTCAATGTTGTTGCTTGTTAGTCCATCTCTCGAGACTCAATTGCATCGGACAGCTATTGTATAATTATTAATGGAATATTTTCATATAAGAATATTCCACATAATCTGTATATATCGTTATTATTTTTCCCTTATTTTTTAATGTTACTGGAATTGCAAACAAATATTGAGTGCTTCGTGGCCTAGGAGTATACTACCCTGAATTACGCGCAAGAGATCGTAAGTTCAAATCTGACCTTTAATTTATATTTTCGACTGAATATCCGGAGAACGAAACACCGATATAAACCAAAATTTTATCAGAGAGACGGTAGGCTCTCCTTTGGCTGAAGTCTTTGTACAAGATCTACCTCTGTAGGTAATACGACATAATTATTAAATATATATAATATATACCTTTCAAAGAAATGTAGAGCTCCAGAAAAGTCACCAGCAAACGCCACTCTTCCCTCAGCTAGCAACACTAATTTGTCAAACAGAGCCATTAGTTCCGATGATGGCTGGTGTATGGTGCAAATGATTGTTTTGCCCTGCGCGGCACTGGCTCTAAGTAGGGACATTAGTTTTTGAGCTGATGACGAATCCAATCCCGTGGTAGGCTCATCACAAAAGAGTAGTCCAGGATCAGTCAAAAGCTGCAATAAAGATGCACAAGTGGAATCAACTCTCTTAGCTAAAATACCTACTTATTAACAGAAGTACTTTCGCACTAAATGCGAAACTATGTCTGTTTATTTACCTTTACACGACTAAATATATGGTATTAATATTAGTATGGATTAATAAATTAAAACAATACGAAAGTAATAACAAAAATTAAGAAGTACCTATATAAACTTCTTACATCCAAGATATATACTTCTAATTTAATTATAACACTAATACAGGAATAAAGCTATTTATCAATATTTAAACAGAGCTACCAATCATGGGTACGATTACTTCGTGATATAAATTTAAAATTAATAACATCCACAATAATATCCACAAGTCCAAGTGATTTAGGATTGATTTACTCGTATATAACTAAGATTTTGGTACTGAAATACTAAGAACTATGAAGTAAGTACGTACCTCGGTAGCGAATGCTAATCGCTTCCTCTCACCACCTGATAGAGTTTTGCGTCCATCCAGTCCTCCTATTCTTGTAAATCTAGTACCGTAAAGGGATAATTGTCTCAGAAGCTGGTTGACTCTTCTTTTTCTCATTACCGAAGAAATGCGGCGATCCATACGCAACCGGGCCTAATTGGGAACAATAAATTTCATCATAATAATTTATATACTTTATAAGTTAGTAGTCAAAAAATCTATTTCGACAGATTGCAAAAAATAAAACTAACTGCGAAGAGATGAATGTGCTAGTCACCCCTTCGCCGTCAGTTTTATTTCTCATAAACATAGCAATGTTCATTGGAATAGTTGCAGCGATTAGCCACGAACTCGTCTGCTCTTTTTTAGACAATAATGGAGTGAGGACGATACGTTATATTTGTCCTTGTGATAAAGCATATGTTTACGTTAAATTTGCTGCGTTCGGCCTTTTATTCGAGAAAAGGTAACAAGAAATATATAGATAGAAACATGCTTGCGTTTCAAATATTAGTATGGATTAATTACTTAAATTAAAAAAATGTTACCACTTCTTTCACTAGGATGTCATAAGGGAAGAGACAATTAGCGATATGAAGCTCAAATGTATAGGTGTAAGACGAAATAAAATCATATAATTAGGAATTTGAGTATATAGAGTTGCAATAAAGAGAGAACCGCGACTAACAGTGAGAAATTAGATTATAATTTAAAATGGCTTCATGAAATAATGGATTTTAAACTAGTCTGTTTAAAATCAATTTTTCGTAGAAAGCGTCTATTAATTATATCGATACTGATGCAATGCGGTCAATTTAATCATATTTACCACTGTGGCAATAGACAAGTCCGACATTTGAAAGTATCCTATTTGCATGATTATCATTATTCGGTACGAAGGACAATATATGGTGCTGAAATAAACCGAATTTCCTTCTCCGTTCGCATAAACATTATCAAATTCTAAGTGTAAAATAATATTTACCATTATTGTTAGATGTTCGATGACTGTCAAGTTATCGACGAATAAATCATCTTGGTGTAGATATCCGCTCTCCTGGTGCATGAACTCGCCCACTGGCATACCGTTCATTGCAATATCGCCTTCTACCACAATGTCCACTGTCGGCATAATTACCAATATTAATTATATAGTACATTACTATATAAAAATGACAACAAAATTTTGGTTTATTAAAAAAAATAGTAACCATATACTTTGAGCTTCCTTGAGATACGAAAAGTATTATGATACTTTTCGTATACTGTGAGTATAATTAATCTTTAGACTATATGTAGTCTAAAGATTTATTATACTCACAGTGTGATCTTGAAGAAGATCACTGTATGACGAAATAATAGATTATAAGTTTCTTCACTATAACGCGGAGTTATTTTCTTTAGTTGTATGATTGTAGCGTTGATAAAATCTTAACTAATTTAACTAAACTTAGCTGATATATACATATATTACCTGGACTTCTATGTGCTAATGTAGACATTAGAGTTGTTTTACCAGCACCACTAAAAAATATTACAAAATATTAAAAATAAATTTTAGAAATATGTAATATCTATCTATCTTCACGCTTGACCCCTAACAGAGAAGGCAGATTCCGAATATTTTTGTTAGAAGTTGCCAAAATATTTTTAGATATATCGTGAGTAGAGTTTCTATGTACACTTCCATCAAATGTATATAACTTATGTAAAGTGACATTATATTAGGTATTGGCGTGGGAAATCATGCTTTCTACAATGGTGTATGGTAAACCACGAAACATTATACTACCTAGTCGTAAATGGTAACTGTCGTAACCACTTAGACATAGGCGATAAGCGACATTTTGTGCAGTGCCGGATTAGCTTGAAGTAAAATAGGGTAGCAAAAGCTACGGACCCCGCACAATCAGGGGGCCCACGCACTCACAATTCTCTGAACGTAATACAATCAATAAAGAATAAGGGGGAAGTTTATAAATCTTTAAATACTTTTTTATTTATTTTTTTAAACAAAGAAGAATTTCTTAAGCTATAATTATTTTTTATATACATAGGTATATGATGACGGCGAACAGAGATGAATGGAAAAGAAAAACCTACTATGTGGATGAAATGCATGTCATGTGTCAATGTGTCTTATTCGTCCCAAATGAATGGATAAGTAATAAGAAATAAATGATCGTATTGTATATAGAGTAAAAGATTTATCTTTGTGCTTTTATTTTTATAAAACCATGAAAACTTCGCTTATTAGCTTAATCCGGCACTGGCAAGTTATTTATGTAAAACAACATTCTAGATAAGCCTTCAGAACCATAAAGCTCGAAATATGAGATGAGGATATGTACAATATATCATTATAGATATGGTATATTAGCAAATAAAATATTTAGTAGGTAATTTACTTTTTTACTATTGTATTGTATAAATTGTCTATTTTTTTCTCCATGAAATACGACTGGTACTTATGGATATTTTTTATAGAGATTTTTAATTAATTCATATGCAACATAAAAGAAATTGCACAAAGTAGGTATTAAACAAAGAAATAAGTGGAATAAAACACTTACCTTGGTCCCATTAAAGCTACTAAGGTGCCAGGCTTGGCGATACCGCTCACTAATAAGAAAACAATGCATATTATACTAGTTGATCCGGCAAACGTTGTTTTGGCATATAAATTAAAAACGCTATTAAAAATAGGCATTGGTGATAGAAGGGTGAAAATTAGTATCAAGGATTGTATGTATTTTTTAACGCCACATTAAAACAATAAGAAAAAAATGTTACGAGTGTACCTTTATCACATAAGGGTATGAAAAATAAACAGTAGCTGATTCTCAGACCTAGTGAATATGCATATAAAATTTCATAAAACTCGGTCAACCCTTTCGGTGGAGTAGGGTAACTAATATTGTGACAAGAGAATTTTATATATAAGATAATTTACTTAGAATGACTGACTATGGCTGCTTCAAAAATGTTTTAGCTTACCTCACACCTTAGTATAGGCACGTCACTTTTTCCTATTTTTTTACTTTTCAACATTAACATTGTTTATTTATTCAAGCATAAATAATTTTCATTCAATTAGGAAAAGCATAAATCAAATCATCAAACAAATAAAACACAAAGAATTTTCAAAATCGGGTTATTAAATTCATAATGGAACATCCGAACATCCGAACTCACAATCTTTACCTTTTTAAATATATAATATTAGTATAGACAGTTTACCAGTGAATTGAGATTATAAGTGAATATAGTTGCCCAAAATAATACGTTTTTTAATAAGTATTTACTACATATACATTACATATATAATGACGGCATCGGTGGTCTAGCGGTTTAGCACATTGCCTTACTTCCGATGGTCGCGGGTTCGATTTTTCGCACGGCACAAACATTTGTATTCATGAGTATGATTGTTTGTTTTATATATTTGTGAAAAAAAATCAATGTATTTGTATCAGTTATGTAGTACCCATAACACAAGTTTTAACTAGATTAACGTAATATATACTTTTTTTAAGTGATGTTGAATTATAGAACATCATGGTTGCGCATGGAATTCAGTTCCGAAATTTCCCTGTAATTTGTATAGATGGTACTATAACAATAAAATGCACCGTATTTATATTAATTTATCGACATATTCGAAATTCAAAACTTGACATAATATCTATCGCTAGCCAATATAATATATACTTTGATGTTGGCAAATGCACCATAGTGCTAACCCATGAGAAAAAAAAAAATATAATATATAAATAGGTACATTGATGCGAATTCTTAATTTAAATATCTGCCATCAACAGAGAAGAAACTATACTAGAGATAGCTTACCATTATTCACGAGTCTCTTCAGTCGTCCATCTTTTTGTTTGATATGTACACTGAGATCCCTCCATACGAGGGTGCAAGGCCGAGGTGCATGGCTGGTACCAAGTACCTCCTCAACTTCTGGATATAGAGGATCATACTTAGTGGGTCTTGATCTCTTCTCTGTGTATATTATTTCAGATGCTAATGTTAGTTCCTGGGTGAAAATATTTGGAATTAAAAATTTATCTGGAATTAAGTAGGTATTTATTACAGCAAAAGTTAATGGCGGCGTGTACTACCACTTTTGCCCTTAACATTGACGCTGATAGAACCGGATAAACAGACACCGGATTATAACATGTAATATTTTACTATTATTGAAATTATTTTTTCATTGAACCAATTTTTGTTATCGAATTAACACGAAGTCAGTACAAAAAAATAAAATGTACAATGTTCTCTTCTTAAACATTAAATTAAATTATTCGTATAATAATTAATTGTAGCTATTAATTTGTGTGATTTAGGCAAAATAATGAATTATTGAATTAATGAACTACTAAGAAAATATTATTTAATCAAAAATAAAATAAATATTACTTCCTGAAACCTACATAAGACTCTTTCCCAGCTATGGATGAAAGATTAAAAGGATTTTTTCTGATACTTCGCTTTAACACTGCTTTCTCACTAATGTCTTTGTTCATTTTCCCGAGCACTGAAATAAATTACGAAAAGAAATTTAGTTTTCTCTTAAAAATTTCATTTACATTATGCATTTTACTAATCGAACGTTGTCTACGATTACGGCAAAGAGCGCGCGCGACTGTCTACAAATGTGGCTGGATTATTCTGACGTTTCACATGTGTTAGCAAGGGACAGAGTTAGAGGTTAGAACGAGATAATGGTGAATTTATCAATGTATCTTTGAAAGGAAAACTAGTTTCCTTATTAAATGTTTACTATGATACGATGAGTAGATCTTAGAGTTAGGTATAACTCATCTAAATCTATAGAGTTCATGACACATGAATGAAAATCAATTAGAGATACCCGTTCATAATTACCATACGTACGAATTGATAGGTTTCAATCCATTACAATAAGGATACATTCCTAATTCAAAAGTATTTTTCTCTTTCAGGATGGGATAACTTAGGAAACTTAGGAAAAGATTTTATAGTTTGGTTTTGTGAGATAAAAATCTTTTACTTAACAACGAAACTGTAATAAATACTTTTGACGATTGGCTATATTCAACATCATAATAACTGTATTAATATATGTAAATATATTCATCCATTTTACATAAATTAATAATGTATCTGGCCCCGAAAATTATAATAACATAAACAAACCTATTACTCTAGTTAGAGTTCCATGAACCATGTATATTGCATAAATTGATTTATGGCCAGTTTTAGATATTTTTTTTAAAACGACATATTATCGTTATTTAGTTGAAACAGATACCATTAAGGAGGGAATTCTAATAATGGTGAATAACGGCCTCAAAACATTGAGGCATTGTTAACAAGCAGTGTATCCCGTCATTCAACCTCTGGTACCTATGGGAACTGCTATAGTCTATTCACAGTGAATTATCTACGATAAGCTGACTCCATTTGTAGGACCCCGCTAGCTGATATATACCTACCCTTAGCGCAGGCGAGTACAAGGTATCTATGGAGAAATGATTACTTCCGATCTTTCCAAACATTCATTATTTTATCCTATATCGGAAGATGCATGCGTCTGTCTGGCTGGCTGAAAATTCATTTTTCAACTTTACAGACCGTCGCGGGCATCCATGTCCACTCTTTTCATCATGGAAAGGTAAAAAGAGACAAATAGACATATTTACAATATCAGTATTGATTAAAGTAATTAATAAAAATAATTTAATCTACGTACTCCTTTAATTATTTTCTTCCTCTGTAATTCTTAGAATATTTACAATTACGAATCATTTGTTTCAAATTGTGATGGAATGCTGGTGGCTATTTTTGTTACTATGCAATCTAGTTACGCCTACTTAGTGTGTATATTATATCTGTATTTGTACCTATATTTCATTCATACAACATAGCTAATCCTTAGTTACCAGTGACGTTTCAGAGCACAGAGCCCGCCTAATCTCTGACCGTCTGTAAATAGCTTAACCGTCGCCGATTGGTGTAAACATAACCGATGTGACAGCTATATTGTGAGGCTTCGGTTTTCTTGTCTGTTTAGGGTTATCAATAAAATTAAATTTATATACGTCTTTAAATTTATAATAATATTAAATGCTAAACTTGTCCATCTGTTTATTGGCTTTTTGTGACTGTCGACATAAAGATGGATTGCATCCCGAAAATGTACATAGGCTGTCTTTTATCTCAATAAAAGAGCTGATACTCAATACCTGTTGGATATATAATTGGATGTACTATCCTTATTCAAAATATAATTGTATACTGCAAAACTATGTAAGACCGTCTATTTGTATGTTGGCTTACTATACAAATAAACGACTTAACGGATAGTAATGAAATTTAACATGAAAATGGATTATATTGCGATGGTAGACGTAAATTCTTTCTTAAAAAGTAGTCGGAGACGCGGAAAAAGCTATCTACATTGTTTTTCTAATTTCTTATACATTTCGCAGTGTGGTACCCCTACAAAACTACCACTCGTCATATGATACGCAGCGGGTCACAGAGCAATTCACGGCCGACGTTTCCGCTATATATGGTTCGATAGAACTTGCTTACGCCAATAACGGTTGATACGGGAACGAAAGAGAAAGATATAGCTGTAAATTTTTCAATTTAGTGTAATATGACTACCCTTCCTTTTCCTTATGAACTACTAGTTTCATCCGTCACTTGATTATGATTTTTTTAGATATATATATATATATATTATATTGTCTCAGGACAATTCACACAGCGCCATCTAGACCCAAACTAAGCAGAACTTGTATTATGTGTACTCGACAACTGATATAAATACATAGATATTTATTTTGTAAATATATAATATACATCCAGATCGGAACAAACAATCATCCTCATGAATAGAATATCTCCCGCGACCGTCGGAAGAAAACTGGTGTGCTTTTTTTTTGGTATGTGATATTGAAATGATACACCCGCCGGCGCTAACGGTTTACGCTGGCGGGGCACCAGAGGTTAATATGAGCATGACGTCAGGTCAGTTAGTCCATCGTGACAAATTCACCTGTAATTTATCATGATGGTTTCCAGGGGGAACCGCGTGGAGGTCAAGCTGACATAGTACATTGATAACAATGGGGTCAAGAGTCCACATTACTTACAATAGTGGTGTGCTAATCCGCCAGACCACTGAGGCCGTCAAAAGATAGTCCATGTTCTTCCTTATGATCTACACATCTTTCATCAAAATTATGGGCTAACTCACTAGTACATCTGAGGCGTTTGTTATGTGCTATAAGATGCTCTCAGACGATTGGTTGTGAAGAATGTTACAGACGAATAGGCGCAGCACTTACATAAGTATGTACAAACTTGAATGTATATGGGAAAATGTAACAAATCTGGACATGATCCCAACGATATATAAATAATAATGTAATCTAGGAGTACATATATCATGTACTCCTCGAGCCATTAAGGTGAGTGTAGACGTACATCGATAAAGTTCAATGTAGTATTTAAATTAAATAAATACTAACTTTAACTTTAGAACTTATTTGCTATTTATTTAAGCTTTTGGACAGTATTTCAGTGTCAGCAAAAATATGTCTGTGTCTTTGTTGCCTTTTCGGCACTAATCGGCTGAATATTTGATGTGAAAACAGATCACGAGGATAGCATCGGTGCTTTGCAATCAGATAAGGTAATATTGTATACTACTGGCTACCTATATATATATATATACCTATGACTTATTTTCTCTTATTAATTGTTTAACCAGTTGTTGTATATTGAATGTTTTTTCTATTTTATTATTTCATTGATTAGTGCTAATCGGTGGTTTGTATTCACACACTTAAACTTAAATTGTAAGTAAGAATAAATTATTTAAAAGAGCAACACACAAGTTTCTTGCTCGTTCTTCATGTGATGAGACAGCATTCCGAATGAGCGGTAGATTAAAAAAAAATGTTATGACTATTCAAAAGTGCTTCAATGTAAGTTTATTTGAATAAATGATTTTCTATTCTATTCTATTCTATACATTTTTATAATTTTATGTTATTCAGAATTTTTTATTGACGAATATATTATATAATATACTCGAACTATAATCGTAAATGTATATTAATACATTTGCGATTATAGTATATTATGCGAAGGCTACGATTTCATACAGTGAAAGTTTTCTTACTTCGCTGGAGGATTGTATGTATTTTTATAATCGTAGCGTATATATAATATACACAGCCTATACTTTTGATGTCAATAAATTTGTAAATAAAAAAATAGAGACACTTACCACATCAAATATTTCATTATATTGAGGTCAATAATAAGTTAATGAGCAGATCTGAATTAATTTACAATCAGACATCATATAGGAGTCAACGATTTGCTTTCTCATCAAACTGGTTTGACGCGTTTCCGTTATCAACTAATTATTAACTGGATTATATCTATCTCGATGTAAAATAAATGTACTATGTTTGTAAATTTCAGCTAGTTACTAAAAGTACATATTAAAATTATTATTAATTTTGAAACATACTTTTAAAAAAGCAGCAATGTTATAGACGCTATGTCTAGGATAGTATGTCTAGGTACAGTAGTAGTAGTACTGTAGGTCTTATTAATACTAACGAGTTAAGAATAAACAAGTGATATATTTTTAAAACATCTTCTTCAATAATATAATAAGTATATATGACTATATTTATGTTCTGTTCTATTTCGACTTGTCTTAATATTTTTATGAAAGGTAAAAAAGAAAAAAAATCAGTTATTACTTAAATAATTTATTTCAAAAACACATATTGTTGTCTATACAATAACATGATTAACGTCCAAAATGTATACACATGTAAGTGTAATTAAAAAAATATTGCAAATAAAGTTTTTTGTCATATTACTCCTTACTCCTTTGTCACATGCTTTCTTAATTATTTTTCCTATAATGTAGAACAGATATAAAATAATTATTAGGTACTGTATAAATTAATACTCGTAATTGAAATTCCTAAGAGTCCTACACATTACCGATAAAAGTCGGACGGCACTTGTCGACAATGCAGTTCGATGTACGTATTGGATGTTACGCTCCGCCCTTTTTGGAAATATGCCAATCGAACGTTGTCGTCGACACTGACCGTCCGGATTAAATCTGATAATGTGAGTTTAGGTTAACAGTAAACTTTACTCAATTCTACTGATATATAATAATAAAATATAGTGATATTTATTTAGCCCGTCGCGTACGCAGTAGCAGAGCGAAATAGGCGAGCAATCGGAAGCCAACGAACAGAAGTACCATGCTGATTATATCCATCTGGAAGTCGTCCTGCGAAAGAAATTACGAATAAGAAAATAACAATACATTTTATGCAACAAGAATAATAATAACAATCCTGGACAATTCACACAGTGCCATCATGTCCTAAGCAAAACATGTATTAAGAATAACTTATATAAATACTAAATACTTATTTGTTAAATCTATTAATCTATATACTTTAATATAATATTTTATGTATAATATATATGTAATTATGAAAATATGTGTAATATAATATATATATCCTACAGTGAAAACTTCTGTTAAAAACTTCTCCTGTATCAAATATCAGTGGGAGCCTAAGAATTTATAAAAAAAAACAAATAAACGAAAAAAATATACATAGGAAACACCCTGACCAATATAAACAAACATACTCATGAATACAAATGTTCGTACAGTGCGAAGAATCGAACCCCCGCTAGATAGCTCTGTGAGTTGTCCTGAGATATTATTATTGTTATTTAATTAAAAGTAGATTTTTTAAATTTAATATTTTAGAACTAGCGGAACAGAAATTTCCAAAGATACTAAGAAAACTAATATATACCTCAGAGAAACTCAAGGTCTCAAGTACGACCTGCCCGGAAGCAGGGCATGTGAAGTTCTCCCTTGTGCACGCGATGGAGTCGATCCCAGACCACTGGTTCACCAGCAGTGCCTCGTTGCCGTATCGAAACCAGGAGAGGTATGATATCCAGCCAAGATACGGTGGGACGGAGCTATAAATAATAAAATATGATTGGATGTCGCATGAAATATAAAATGGGTACTTTTTATTGTATAGACACAGCTTGTTAATTTTATTAGATGTATGGTTACCTACCCAGAGTTAAGGAAAAATCCACCAAAGAGCATGAATGGTATGATGATGGGGGGTCCCACTGATGCGGCCATGCTCACACTGCTGCTAGCACACGATATCAGGTATCCTGTATATAGAAATATAAGATTCTTTAATATTGAATAATTAAATTAATTAATTAATTAAATTAATACCGATTAATTAATAATGAATCGGTTTTTATTAGAGATAAGGTAATCACAAGCATTTTCAACAATGGCAAGAGGCAAGGGGATGATAAATGAACGGGGTGGGTCGGTAGGCAAATTTTTCTTAATTCCTAATTAAATTTTATTCGAGTCTGTCCAACCGTGTAAGCGTGATTAAGTAACAAACATCTAAACTATAAAATTATACATATAATTTATACTATTAATAATTAACAAGTCAAGGTATCAATATAAGAGAGTGAAATGTTTACTCAATCATTACAACCAGTGTTAAGCTTAATAAAGGTAAAAGCAACTGATGAACTAAACGGGTTACCTACTGATTATATTTTATTTTGTTAAACTTTATACTTGCTCGAAATATATGAACTGAGATAAACAAGCACTAACTATTAATCGGAAATATAGTATTTATATCGTAAGAATAACATTTCTTAGGATCGAAATCTATACATATGATTAAAATAAGATGCATATCATCTTAAAAATAAAAAATATATAAGTATATCTATTAATAGTCTTTCTATTAATTGTATTATAGCCACATCACAAGATCTGCTTAATTTGGTACTAGATGGCGTCGTGTGAATTGAATTATTCAGGGTTCATCGTTATCCCATTTATTTGCGGGTGGTGTAATATGTATTTTTCTTCGCAGTTATCTCGTTATTTGCTTCCTATTTTGCCATACAATCTTTCACACATACCATCCATCTCTTTGTCGGCCTTCTAAAAGATATATTCATTCATCCACATCCACATTCATATGTAACACCTGCCTTATTATTATTAAATTATTAGTTAAAAATAAAGATAAATATCACTCACCAAAAGATGTAGCAACATTGGTTATGAGCGCCGCCAACCCTGAGGCTATGAAGAATCTCTCCGGTGCAGGGTTCAATCCGATCATGTAATATGCTATTGTGGTGAAAACGAGAGGTATTGTGGCAAAAACGGGGGCCTCCGCTAAGGTCTTGGATAAAAAGTAGACATCAGCTCGATACATCCCATTGTGGTGTTCACGAATGAAAATAGGCAGTTCTGAACAGAATACCTGCGTGAAGAGAAAGTAATAATAATAAAAATCATGATTTTGCTTATATTTAGCTTATATAATATAGTATAATGCGAAAAATATAAAGTAATTTAAAAACTAATATTGCGTTATAAGCTGAAAGGGCCTACACTCTGCTGATGCGGCAGCGTGTCACTGTGTGTTATATTTATTGCATACTAAGGCAATTATAGGAGGCCAAAACCTCAAATAGACTTAAATAATACTAAAGCAATTTTTGATTAATTTTTAGCTAGAATTTTCCCATTTTTCTGAAATTAACATAGAGCTTTATTTTAATTTCATAAAAATGGGAAAATCCTAAGATATTAAAAGGAAGTCAGGTATCACTAGGAAATTAAGTAAGTTTTAAAACTATATACAGCTTTTTTATTTACAATGGTGGCAGTGAAGTATACGGCCCATTTGATGGAAAACGGTTACTTGCCTGCTTAAAAAATAATATGTAACTTTAAATAAGTGTCTCAACTCACATTTATGACTGCGAAAATATTTTGGAAGGTCATATTTGTGAGGAAAATAAATATGGCTCCGTTGATGTTCATGACGCCATCTTGGTCCAGGTGTTGTCCGAAGTAGATAACGCCAATTAATATTGACACCATCTAGTACGAAATTTATGTTATCAAATATGGTCCAATGATTCATTTTTTTATATAATATGACACGATCTTCTTAGCTCCTCTTCGCGGGACTTCGTGTGCGTGGGCAGGGAGAGAAACATTGACCTTAACCGCTTGTGTTTCTATCCCTGCCCAGCCAAATTTGGTTAAAACATACTAGTGCTACTTTAGATACACATTCTAGTATAGAACTGACTAAATGTCAAGATTTTTAGAAGATTGTAAAGAGATTTCTCTGATATACCCCTCGTTCCCACTTCGACCGCATATAAATTAACCACATAGCCATTTTTCGGTCCTTCGTTTAATAATATATATAAATACAAATAAATATTACTAACTAATATAGTTAGTAATATTTATTTGTATTATTTATTGCATGGTCTAATACAATTAATTCATTAACGAAATGTGCAAATCAAGAAATGAATCTTTTGTAATTTTTTATACAATATGTCACTTTTGTATCTCTGCAATTTTTTCTAGTGTCGATGTAGAAACCAGTCATTTTAATATGTATTAATACTTTGTTTATTACGTAAAACTCTATTTCCAACAATACTTGATATTGACTTTTGACTTTCAGGTGCAACTGCTCATTTTTAGTTCTTACTATTTATGTAATACCACTCACCACAGTTTGCAAGAAGCGAACTTTGATCAACATGGGCTCCTTGGTCACAGATAGCCATGAGCGCCATAGCACCGCTCTGAACTGAGCGCACCAAGACGCCTTGTATGGGGAGCGATGCGAACGTAAGGCGGCGGCACTAGCCCATGCCGCTTCTGTCCATCCACCAGATATCTTACTCTGCATTGGAAAAAAATTACACAATCTTTTAATTAAATTATTATTCTTTAAATCTTTTAATTAACTACCACATTCAACGGCCTCGGTGGCCTAGTGGTTTAGAATACCGCTTTACTTACCATGGTCGCAGGTTCGGTTCCTCGTACGGTACAAACATTTATATTAATGAGTATATTTCTTTCTCTCGGTCTGTATGTTATCTATGTATATTATGTATGTATTTACGAAAAACTATATCTAAATATTTATATCAGTTTTACCTCGCGGAACAACGAATTTTCAGCCTCCGCTGCCAATTTACAACCAACATCTGACTTGGCGAAGGCTGTACACACAGTGTCTATGGTGTGGCGAGTAGCCTCTTCCTGACCCGGCACCCCCGCCAGGAGTTGTATGAAATGATCGGCGGGATTGTAATTTGCTGGGCACGCAGCTCCGAGCCTAATGTTACAAATACAGAAGAATGGTTTTACATTGTCAATAAACATATTCAACTACTACTAACATACTTAGACAATATATTTATCTTATTTATTTAATTCCAGGTTCATTCTTTTCTATTTATTTTGTTGATTCTTTTTTTAATCTAAAGTACTTTTAGTCCATTATCAGTCACATATAGTTTTTCGTAGAGCGTCTACGCTAATACCAAAACTTCATTTTATTACTTTGTTTTTGATTCTTTCTTTATGACATTCAGGTTTAAATAGATCCCTACAGTTAAATATACTATTATATATACTAATATATGAATAAAGTAAAGCAAATACCAGATACAGTAATGAATAAATCAAACCTGTTTCCATCTCTACTCATGCTGAACGCCCTTGTGCATATTCGGAATCAGTTCCATGTCATTTGTCCTACTTTCACATAAAAGGTTAAGTACTGGGTAAAGAAATAAAGGAAATACTGCTTTTGACATTAACTAAGTAAAATATTCGAAAAAAATATTTATTCTTCTTTGGTTCGGTGGTATCGGAATGGAGTACTGCAAGACAGTAATTAAACTAAGTTAACGGGGTAACAGAAATACATGAGATAGACGTATCTACTACTTAGATATATATGTTATATGAATATATATATTAATACGTGAAGCAAATACTTGGTACAGCTTTTTACGAAAATTGCGCGTACGTAGGAGTATGAGATTTAACACACATATTATTTATAATAGAAGGAATGCAGAATGACGATATAAATTATGCATAAAAAATATGTTAAAATAACAAAAAAAACATTAGACAGTCTACTATGTATTTGACACATACACGTATAAAAGTATTTATAGTCTTTGACAAAAGAACCTTAATAGTATTCAAACTTATGTAGAAATTAAATTAATTATGCTCGAATTTCGACTAAGAAATTTGGTATAATAGGGAAAGTAAACATTCTTATCTTGACCTATTCAACGTCCACTGTCCACCTACACAACGGCATTGAATGTGTTTTGGGTGAAGGGAGATTAGGTTGAAATTACATAATGAACTTACAGGGTATAAAGGCATTTTATTCCTCCGAAATGGCAACGCATGGGTGGTACCACATGTGGTAATAATCTAATTTTGCTGCTCATGTTCTAGACAATTTACTATTCGAAACTCCAACAATAATAATTATAAAACCTTTTTTGTAATTTATTTTATAATTTTCAAACAGAGAACTATGTGTTCTCGAAATTACGATTATGTTTTGTTTTTTTCTTTTTTTATTACACCGCTGATTGTATTAAAATTATTATAAAATAATATAATTACGATTTAATTCACAATTTGATTGTTTTTAATGATTTCAACGATCCATCCACGCAGCTCGTTGAAATACACACGCTTACCATCTGGGGAGACATCGGCTTGGTTGCCATTTTAATAACATATATATTTTTAATTCTAAAGGTACTTACTCCCTGAAGAATTCTGTGGCTTGATCAGGAGAACCGAGGAAAGCGACTCTACCGTCGGCCATGATTAGCAATTTATCGAACATGGCGTACAACTCAGATGATGGCTGGTGTATGGTGCACACCACCGTCTTTCCCTTCTGCCCCAGACCTTTTAATACCTGACCAAAATAACAACAAATACACATCAACAGAGATAGATATGAATATGCAAAGATATTTTATGGGTTTCTAACTATATGAACAGAGATTCTGTGATTCCGTTTGAATTAACAAATAGGTACAATTTTTGCATCCGTTGTACTCTCGTGTATAACTTCCTGAAACCTAAGAAATAAATCCTTCTTTTAGGATAAGACCGATATTGTACATGTTTTCTTAGGATATTTATTTTAAGTTGCTTATTTGTATTAATGTGCAGTAAATATTTCTTTGATAGTATAGTATTACGATCAAACAAATATTTATTATCTCTATAAATATATTTGTTATGTATGTGTATATATGTATATGTTCTTATGATATTATAAATATAACATACAAACCTGTATAACATTCTGTGCCATAAAGGAGTCCAATCCTGAGGTAGGCTCATCGCAAAACATTAGCGGTGGGTCTGTGAGGACTTCGCTTGCGAATGACAACCTCTTCATCTCCCCTCCTGATATGCCTTTCAAGCGTCCTGGTATACCAATAACCGTATTCTGGCATTTCGATAGTGCTAGCTGTAAAAATATTTTCTGAGAGAATACTGATATCTATACAAAAAAATAAATTGGAGTGTTTGTTTGTATTATTGAAATAACCGTTTTTAATACATACATATGAATATAAATACGGTATATACACCAAAATAACATTTTTCTACATTTTTTGTCTGTCTGTCTGTCTGTTTGTTGCGGCTAATCTCTGAAATGGCTGGATCGATTTTGACGGGACTTTTATTGGCAGGTAGCTGATGTAATAAGGAGTAACTTAGGCGACTTTTATTTTAGAAAAATGCATGTTGTCTGATTAGTTTTATTTTGAACTGTAGCTTTTAAAAATTCGGCACTTTTATTACACAATACAACTTCATACAGTTTCCAAAAAATGGTTCTAGCGATTAGAATAAAGAAAAGTATTATTACCTCTGAAATAACTTCTTGCACTCTGCGCATGCGTTGTGCGTATGGTATATGTCTGTCCATGCGTACTAAAGCCTGTATGTACAAACACAACATGTTTTATGTTTAATCAGATTACCTGTTTCATTTTTGTGGTATATACAATTGGTAATTATTATAGGACATCTCAGGACAATTCACACTATACTTTCTAGTTTAAATTAATTTAATTACCTAGTTAGTGCCTAGCTATAAAGATATTGTTTTAGAAAACATGAAGATACAATTTTGTCGCCAAGAATACCCTATATCATTTCACTCCTGAGCACATGCCTATATACATAAATACGATTAAGGTTTTATTAAATATAAAATTATGGATATCGAAGTCACAATTAAAAATCATCTAAAAGAAATCATTCTAAAATTACATAATTTTTTTATATTGTATCGTAACAGAACTGATTCTCTTGTTTCAGTCACCGTATTTGATCTACTAATTATCAATTAGCGCCAGTGTTAACAATATATAACTTTACCTGAAAGATGAGATGCTCCCGAACAGTTAAAGTGCCAATAAACAAATCCTGTTGCTGAACATATGCAGATAGCGCTGTCAGCGCTTCAGGTGTAGCTGGCTGTCCATTTAGAGCCCTGGTACCACTAGAAACGACACCGCTTGGTGTACGGAAGGTCAGAGTATTGAGAAGAGTGGTCTTGCCAGCTCCAGATGATCCCATGATGGCTAGTAACTCACCTGGATATGCTGCACCATTTACTAAAAAAAGTATAGAGTTAGATTTTTTATATAGCCAGAATTGCAAAAGCTAATGGTCAACCGTTATGGTAAACGGTGACGGTCGCCTATATACTATAGTGCTGTATTATAGATTAATGTAGCGAACTCCTTGATGGATTTTAATATTCATTTTAAAATTTTATAAAAAATTTTTTGACATATATTTTTTTGTAAGAATCTATTTCTATTTATATATGGATGTCGTAATAGTCGCATATACAATATCCGTATTTTTCCTTCAAAACCCTCAATACCTCTCACTCACTCATGTTGAAGCAGATGTATGCTTCAGCATCATTGAAATATATACTCATGACACTAAACGCATTTGAAAGTTGTCCACAATTTTACATTGACCGAAAAATTACACTATTACTAGTCTTCAGGAAATAATATTTACTGATTTTTGCAACTAGATCAATAATAGCACTTTAATAATATGCAGTTGAATAGAAGTTATTAACAATAACATCTACTGATAATACATTATGCATAGTTACCGCTTTTCAGTAACTGCTTTCTCTGTTGGAACATGCCGTTGGGCGAAGTTTTCCAAAAATTCCATAATCGCCTCCTGGACCTGGTCTGCGATGCAAACGCGTTGATATCAGACCAAGTGTACGTGACTTTCTCCACACCGCCGATTGCTCCATAGTTACGTGGCATGGGCACACTGACTTCACCGTCACCTGATGGAGTACCTGGACGGGAGTTTCCATCCTATGAAATAACAAAGAGCATTATATATCTAGGTTGCCATTAATTAAGATATTCCTATAAACTTTTTCAAATTCTTGCTAAAAAATGTAGGATTAACTCAACAGGATTAATTAAAATTATTTTTAATAATGACGCGTTTGCATTGTTGAGACCTATTACCTACCAACCTATGGAACCCTATTATGCTCGCCCTGTTTCAGAATTTGTTTGCAGGACCCACCAATTTGTAGTGTCCAGTAAGGCCGCAAGTAATAATACGTATATTGTTTATACTCAGTGTCTATTAGAGTAGGTATTAATTCTAGTAGCCCGTTATTAGGGCTTTTGGTATTTTCTGCCAGTGACTTCGTGCTTCCAGTTTAGTTATATATTTGAGATGTCCCTGTTTTAGACTTATGAAGATTCAATTGGTTTAAAACACATGAAGATATTGGGTAATATGTATAAATACACAAAATGTATACAGAGATAAAACATATTGCACATAAAGTACTCTCAATAAAATACTAATTTAACTGTGCTTTACCTACTAGAGTTTAGATCTGAAGAGAAAAATTAGTAACTTATTATATAAATGATGATTTCTTAGAGTAGATCAGAATCAAAGAAATCACAAGTGTGTGTGATAAAAAAAATTGACAGCCTAAGATTGAACTCAGTTGAAAACTGACATTATGTTTACCTAAGTAACGAAATGCGAATCTACGACTTTTACTATAAACTACACAATTCCTAATTCAGAAATTTACCCCTCTGCAAAAGTGTTGATTACATGCAAGTATTTTCTTGTTTGAATATCGCAAACCCCCGTCTATAGCGATTAATCAATCGGATAATGGGGGAATACTGTTAGAAGCCAAATAAGTGTATTGTATAATAATAAATAAAATTTAACAGTATTAGTACAAAATGTGTAATATTAATCTCTAGTATCAGGTAGAGATAGTCAACATCTTCTTTTAAAACTATGGCATTCCTTTACAGTTCCATTAGGTTTTTTTTTATAGGACGATATATGGGAATGGAACGTCCGACTCGCTCAATGTAAAACGACAATGGTCGTCTATAGACATGGACAGTACTACGGACAGTGTCCATGGGAGACAAAATATACCTACAGTAATTTCCACCTATGTAACTTCTAATTAAATAAATAATTTCTAGTTAATCACATAACAATACTGCATCAAATTTACTTTGCTAAATAGGTACGGTAAGCGATAGTCTCGCGGTGCTTGCCACGCTATATTAATGTATATATTACTATGTAATATTATGTTATCTGTGATATTACCAAACTAACAAAATGCGGGCAAATCGACAATGCCTCGGATTCCCCGATCTTCAATAACAGTCGTGATAATATGTGTTGTTTAATACGACATTTATAACATTACCTGGGATACATAAGTAGACTGTAAAGTACTGAGTAGATAGTCTTTTGTCCTAACATGTGTATCTTATTTTACTTATTAATATCATAAACGCGAAAGCTTCTGAGTATAAATGGATGGCTGTTTGTTACTCTTTCAAGCAAAAAGTACTGCATGGATTTTGATGATCTTTACAATAATATATTATAGGATAACCCACAGGCTATATTTTAAAAAGATATTATGTAAATTGGGCGAAATAGAATGATAAATGTATACTTATAACTAGTATCTCATAATTTAATGCTATTATAGAAAGTGCGAACTACGGTGTGAATATAATATAGGAAGCCATCAATTGGGTGTTAATTACAGTAAGTACAATATTACCTATGGGGGGACACTTACGGTATTACACAATGAGGTAATATCAGGTTACCGGAATTGGACTGCATTATATGGTTACACACCGGTAGCACGGATATAACACCAGTGTTTAGGGGAAGTGGATTAAGTAAGTACCTAATGGGGATTACTAGTCCCATGCGTATGAGATAAACAGCCATAGGAAATAAATAAAATATAATAGAAATCGGTAAATAAATTATGGACTTTTTATATATCCATGGGGTTAATGATATATGAACTATCGCGCACCTTAAAGCGCGCGAAAAAAGTGCTTTCCATTGTAACAAAATTAATATAATATTGTCATTATAAAAAAAATTAATTTATATACACAAATTTACATTTAAATTGAGTCTCTATTTATTAAAGTCGCTTGAAATACCAATACATTCCAATTAAGTATTCATTATTGAAGTCGGTTAAAATACCGTCAGTTCACCTAATGGAAAAACAGTTACCGGCAAAGCGAGGGATAGCAGTGAAATCTGACACCCTGGAAAATTATTGTTCGACGGTGAAATTTAAAATTAATATGCTAACTGAGCTAACTAAAACCTAATGCTAATTAAGCTTTAGTGCTTCCTCTTGGTTCGGAAGAAATATTAATATTAATTAGATGTGTGTAGATACGCAGAATTAATTAATTGACAACATGACTGACTAAATATTTCAATTTTTTAACATTATACATCATTTGTCTAATTACTGGTCATAGTACAAGATTTATTATTATTGATACCGGTGGACAGTAGATTGTAGAAATTGCAGAAAATTATCACCTAAATAATATATATATATCTCGATTAATGTACTTAACGACTCCAGAAAAATAGTGACAGTGATTATGATACTAATAAATATATTATATTTGACCCTGTTATGACCCCTGTGGTGACTCTACAATTTGCTGATGAAATTACAATTTTTAAATGACGGTCATTAGGAAATACCAATTTCGTAATAAAAATATAGACGCATTGTACCTAATTGCAGTGTACATTTATACCTATACGCGTTTTTTATATGTCTATTGTAATAGTACATATACTACTTCTTATCTAGCGACACATAACAACCTAAAACTTTGTAACATTATATGAATGGATCAAAAATGCAATCCATGTACTGTAAAAATGATTAATTAAAGTTCCCAATCCCGTACAAAAAATGTTGGCATCAATATGTTGTCAACATGTTGGTGACAATAAAGTAAAAAATTGTCTATGCAAACAACTTCTTTTTGCTTCAAAATATGTTGTACTAATTATAAAATACTCTATAAAATATTTTATCCACTAAAACATAAATAAAAAATATCTAGTCTATTAAAATATGTTCGAATTTCGAATTCGATATATTTTAACATCTCGCATACTTTTAAAACCGGTGCACTTGGAGCAAAACTCCTAACTAGTTGTTTTTTTGGTACGGCCACTGACTTAATGATGAAATTTATTTTTATGGTACAGCAGAGACACCTTGATTGTATGTATCTAACTGTATGGTGATACGGTTCAATTTCCTGTCTGTGTATTGAGCATCTACTGGAAATTTTCCGTAGAGTTAATTCCTTGTGCAAGGAAATGAGAGATCAATTCAAATGAGCAGAAATTGAAGAATATTCTGTTCCATTACCTAAAGACATCGTTTACATATTTCAGTGCAATAAATCAAGATTAAGCATTGTTTCAAATCTTATCGCGTAGGTTAATAAACTACATTAAATAGGTAGGGACAATATTTTTTATCTCGACTTACAAACATTCGTCTGTTAATTAGAAAAGTAAATACACATAACTATAACCTAGTACAATACTGAAACATCTTTCTACTGAAGAAGTTTTATTGAGATATAAATCAGTAATAAAACTTAAAAGAAGTCTGAAAATAATGGAATAATATATATAATTAATGAAAATAAAGTGATTATTTAATATTTTTTGGTATATTCAGATCGAGCATCAACTGTGAATAAATTCCATATATTTTTTTTTATTTTGCTGCATTCAAGTTCTATTTGTTATTGCGATTGGATTCAAAATTAATATAACCATTGTGATAACTATATACCAATCTATAGATATGTAATAATTATAGTATTAAAGAAAAAATGGTTTTTATTTGTAGAAACATTAAGGTATATAAATATCTCGTCATTCAATTTTACCTGTGGCGAATTATTGTACGTCACGCGTTGATTCTCTACAGACGAAGAAATAAGTGGCTCTTGCTCTTCACTTGCAACAGTCATGTTTTAACTTTATCAGTATAAATAATTTTATGCATTCACTGACATATTAAACACAGAATCACAGAATATAAAATTCAACGTCACACTAGTGTCGTTTTGGCGGGAAGCGGGAGCGGGAGCGCGCGAACGATTGTCGATGTGCCGGAGTGATGTTGTAGGCTTGCACGCACTGCTCCGTGTGCGTACTCCACACTATTGACTAATGATTGAGCATAGACGCGTCTTCTCAGTCATCTTTGCTTTCAGGTTATTTAATTATTCACTTACAAATTCTATACACACATTCGTACAATCCACGGGTAGAGAATTGTAAACACCAAATACTTGTACGTAAATGTTTATTAAAAAATCATGATATAGCAAATAATTATATCGTAAATTAATTAAACAATATTTAAATGAATTACCTTTTACAATCTGGCTTCTATAGTATGAATATAATGACACATGACAAAGGAACTATTGTATACAAGACTTGAGATGTTTTATTTATGATTCTTAACAATATGGCTAACATATCAGTTTTATATTAATTATACCTTACACTATTTCACAATTACATTATTAACGTAGTTACATTATTCATTCAATTATAATATTATTTGGTTAATTATTTCGTGACGCCTCCATAAAATGGCATTCATTGAAATCCTCGTGTGATTTTATGTAAATAATCAAATTGTTATATAGATACGACCCATACATAAATAAGCTTATATAATATACATCATGCTGACAGTATTTATGACATTACACAACTTTTCATTGATTTTCGTACTAATTCAACAGCGATCCTTGTTGCTTTACGACTTCTTAAATACTATCAGTGGTTTCGGCTTTTTACATCCTTTCCGCTTAGAGAAATAACATACAAATAGAAGGTCTTGCTCCTGCTTCTAGAAATTACACTAAATGTTACAAGAAATTGAATTATAAATTTAATATGAAAAAACCTCATACGGGGTTTTATTAGTTCAATTACTTGTAACACTTTAAAAATCACTAAAACATTTAAAAAATAAATCCGGATAGAGCCCACTGTTGCCAGTTTTTGGATCAAAATTTCCAAAAGGCCAGTTTCCAAACTTGGTTCTTTTTTAATAATATTACTACTATGTTATTTCTCATTTCCATTACATACTGTAATCTCGGTAGCGTAATTTTAGTTGCGACCACTTAACATAAATAAATAAGATCACATATTAAATTAGACACACAATTGCACAATCTTAAGTATTGTTAAATATAATCAACCGCTTTAGAAAATAACGTATCTATATATAATAATGATGCATTATTATACGCTGTAATTAAAAATAACTAAATAAAATCACGATCTACAAACTGAACAATGCGTTACCTCATTAAGTATACAACTATATAAATAAAATATTTACAAAAACCGGATCGGATGCATGTACCTACCTAATTTGACATAAACATTACACTATAATTATATTTTATCAGAATTTAGCACTACATAGGAAGCATTTTAAGTAAGTAATATTATGAGCTCGTTCTTATTATTCCACTAAGTGTCTGGTGTAGACATAATCACTTTAATGAATATTTCTTTTTTTTCTATAATAATAACGATGAGTTGTGTCATTTTGTATATAGGAATTATTACCTTATTTGTAACCCCCGAAGAAAAAACAGGGTTGTTATATTTTTGATGTGTCTATGGCTTCGTAGCACTAAACGAATGGACTGATTATGATGCGGGTTTTATTTGTGTGAAAGATGTTGTTTCTTTGTCAAAACATATCGGTTATTAGCTACAACTTAATAGTGTTTTTTGTTTCGGGGGTTATTTAAATTCTTTAATTTTATAATTATCAGTATTTAAATGAACACCAAGAAACAATATACCCGTATATATCAGATCTTATAGTAAAAAATTAAACAAAATGCTCTGTTGAACATTTTTATGTTCTTGGCAGGGTGGTGCGGTGGCCTGGCGAGGTAAAGCGAGAAGCTGTTAAAAAGTTATATTTTTTATTCTGGAGACATGAGTTAGCAGATAATTATCAGAGTATCATTTATACAATTATAGTCATTTTGATTTTTATATAGACGTCAAAGATAATTTGTAATATAAAGAATTGCATAAATTCAAATGTTGATAATTTTCATCATAATTTTCTGTTAAAATTATAAGGATCTCTACATACCTCGTACAGTTGGAATGAGATGCTACAGTTAAAGATATTAAAACATCGAGTTATTGCCGGATGAATGAATGGCTGATATAATGATTGCATTTATTGCAAACGACCATTTCCTATCCACCGACCATTTATTTATTCATGTACCTCTCAACATTGTTCCTACAAAATGATTTTCAACTGTACCAAGAGTTTCTAAACTAGTGAAGTTTAAGCTGGATATTTGACGGTTATGATTATTAACACATAGTATTTGTATATGGCAGTAATTTTCAAGTATATAAGTATTATTTCATGTTTACAATTGTACACATTATATAAACAGGATATTCAACTTGATAATATTTTTATGAACTCCCGATGGAGTCGACAATTGTGAGATTGTTGTAAGATTGTAAGACAATTGTAACACCGTCAAAATATCAGGAGATCATAAATAATATGATCATAGTCAACATTTAGTTTATACAATGTGTATAATTATATAATTATTTACAGCACTGTGTGATGTAATGTAGTTATTTTTACAAAGTAAACATTAGTAGTAATTTTCTTAATTGTGTATATACAGTACGATACATAACATTAACATATAGTGTACATAATATTGGGGAGTAAGCTACATAATATATATTCTCCTAGTTCTAAACCCAAATTTTAAAATCCATAAACAGATTTTTGACATAAAAGTATGTAAACATAGATAATATTTTGATATTTAACTACTTATGCTATATGTACTGGATAAGGTTTAATGTTATACATAAATCTAGGCTTTAAAAAATCCAGTCAGAATATTTTAAGTATAATGTATTTAATTAATATGCAAAGGCGTTCAGTCTACTATTTACATGTTGGCAGTGTAAATCAACTATAGATATTGTCTGTAAATGTTCATATCTTCTAAACAAACATATTTCATATCTTAAAAACAAAAACCTATTACAAAACCCTTTTACTATTTGACAGATTCTTTAATTAAATTAGAAAAACAGTGCGATAGAATAGTCAGGGATTTTTTTATATATCTGCAGTATATTATTTTGTATGCAATTTGGAAACAAAAATTTACAATCAAAATTACCAAATGTTTTAAAAAACTATTACATTTAGAATTTAAATTTGCATTTTTAAATTAATATAGCCATGAAATTAATAGTACGCTGTACGGATAAGAGATCTATTGGCAGATGACCTGAATTATTCGATCTAATAAGCGAGACCACAACCACAGTGCGGTATGTTCGTATTACTCTCGAGATATCTATGTAACACTATACTGTAATAAGCACGTTTTTAATTCATAAATAGATAATTAAAAATATAATATTAGAGGGGTTTAAGTAGATAATACTAGCATATTTATTAAATTATTCGTTTACTAAAAAACCTGTCCGAAAAAAATAAAGTACATAAGAAAAATTTACACGAACACTATGGTTTCATTTTATGCACCGTTGACAAACATATATACATATATCTATGTATGTGTAATCAATATGGCGAGTTTTAACAAAAGTGCAATAGCAAACTGCATTTTTTTCTATACATAAATATAAATTATATTCGATTATTCAGTATAAACAGATTAATGAAATAAACAGATACCAAAGGACAGACAATATCTACAGTTTTTCATAATCTGTGAAAACAAAACCACAGTAGTAGTAGTATTTTATCCCGTATTGGCAATGTCTTATTAGCTTAATCAATATTTATTACTTTTATAAAGATCTGTATGGATATTTTTAAGTCATATACTGATGAATAACAAGTTGGCAAGAAAATTAGTTAAATTCTTTAGGGACTTGTTTAGAAATTACTGTAAATAACTCACGAATTCATTAAGTTGTTATATTATCAGCAAGTGACGTATTTTTATATGACCTCCTTGGTCATTTTGGAGTTTATAACTGAAGTCAGAATGAAAAATACTGTAATACTACCTATCAGTATTTCAGTGACATTAGAAGAATGAGTAATCAATTATTTCTCCTTCGCGTAAACTGGCCAATTACATTACAAAATATTACTCTAGAACTTTGTTTCAAATTGGAGTACGTGTTGCCATGATATTATTGACAAAATTATTAAAACAGTATAATATTCTAGTGGTAGTGTGAATAAAATTTAATATATCTCTTAAAATAACGTTGACCGTTCCTGGGCGTGTGCTTTAGTTATTATTGTGATTATATTTTCATATAAATATATTATGTGATTACCAATATATCTCATTACATATTTTATGTACCTGCAATAGCAAAAAGCATGTGACAATCGTCGAATATATAGGTACATGCGACGATTATTGTTCTAGAGGACTGAGATAACCTGCCTGTATTAAATTTATGAGCAGAATAAGCCTTGGCATAAGTTATTTGTTCTATAACAGCCCTTTAAGTAATTCTATTACTCAATTAGCCTTTATGAGAGGTTTAATAAAGTCCTATGCCTTATACAACTCCTGCGCTACTTGCGATGCGAATGTGTACGACTTATTCTATTGTATGACTGATATGTCTATCATATAGGAGGTATTACTTGTCACTCATCTTTCTATGTTGTTTAATGCATACGTTATTTAATACATTACACCGGGACCTTCATTTGTGACCTAATCTCAACTCAGCTCAACTATTATTGTGGATTTAGTTTTCTTCAAAGCGACTCGACTTAACAACAACATTTGAATTACTTGATGCATGCATATATTTTATGTATACGGGTTAATATTCCAAAATCCATTAATTTATAGTTGGCATAAATCGATCATTGCTGGAGACATGTGATTAATGGAAACAGGTGTCATAAAATGTGACTACATTACGATTGGCGAACGATTTTAACTACAAATGATTTATTAAGTAGACTAATCATTATAATATAGATATAATTGATGTATAACGTATTAAACTGGTTGTGAACTGCAACTGTAACGTCGACTTGGTCTACCAAATACTTTATACAATAGCTGATGTCTTTAATAAATTATAAGCAGTCATAACAAAA